GCACAAGTATCTTGCCAATGGCCTTGTTCCCCACAGCAGCAGGGACTTTGCTAGTAAAAGTGTCCTGATGTGTGTAGAAATCAGAAATAGATGGGCTGACCACCTCACCTCTAACTGCCAACTGGTTATCCTGTGTATTTGCCAATTTTCTTTAAAGATATTCTACTAATCTTCCACATCACTGTGAAATTAAAACAATTCAGAGTTTGGGATAGCACGAGTATGAGGAATAAGACCTACCCGGAAGACTAAGCATTTCTGTTTTGCCAACTCCCTTCTCTGTACATCTTGAAGAGAAGGCTTATTTTCTGTTCTGCTAAACATTGCACTCACTACACTTGGTTTACTTTTGCATTTGAACTGCTCACTACACTTAAGGTGAAACCTACAGACCCAGCACAACCAGCAAGACTAAGAGATGCAGAACAGCATACAGCTTCTCTTCGTAATTTGTGAGTGTAGCAATAGATGTAGCAACCTAGCACATCGATGAACCTACCCTGCCAAACTTGGGTCTGCAGTTTCACTTTCCGAAACAAGAGTAGTTCAACCTTTTATTTTAACGTCCATTAAAATTCATGTTGGCAACTCCCAAGTAAATCTACATTCATACTTTGACTTCCTATGCACTTGCTGGATGAAAAGCACTGTAAAAAAATAATTTCACATGTACAGCTACAAATGGTTTTCCATAATATTCATGTGAAATAGATAAGTTGGTGGTTGTCAAAATGATTAAAAAGCTTAGTAAAGTGAAGGGTTAAGGGTGAATTAGAAAATCTGCTCAGAACCAAATCTTTCCAGTTTCAACTCATACTTCTATAATGGATAAAGTATGTTTGAAATTTGTACCCTAATAAATTAGAAACCTAGCCTCCATTATATATAGAAACTCTTTATAAGTATTACAGCAAACCTCAACTATTGGGAGAGAAGAAAAAAAACAGTACTGCATTTTTTCAAACCTGACTTAAAATATTTTTGCTCCTTCAGAAGTTAAATATATTTTACATCTTTGGTTTATTAGTTATTGCTAACTACTACACACAGTTTTTAAACAGCTACACTGCACAGTAAAGCAAAAAAAAAATATATGTAGCTGCCCCAAAAGGCCAAGCATTATATAAATAAAGAAATTGTAATTATTTTCCTGAATTTTTTCATGAAATTAGGATTGCTAAAAGCATACCATGTACTGTAATAATTACCAGTAATAACAGTAATAACTAATGCAAAATTTTCAGTCCATTACTTGTAGATTTGTCATTTGTTATTTCTATCTCACAAAAAGAAGTTAAGCATTTTTAGATGTAAAGCAAGAATTTATCAACACAAACATAGCAATTACTGAATCTCCTATAAGCCAAAGGTAAAGAATGGTATTTCTTTCAAGTGAGGTCTTCATCATTCATAGTGACTACTAAGCATAATGCTAGCTGGAAGAGCAATTTCAAATTCCACCGATTCCTTTCATAATGCCTACAATGCTCTGTCTATAAAATACTCAAATAAGCAAACAAAACTCTTAATACTCCTCAAAATTCAAACAACCCTTTATTTCTTACTGAGCAGTCTAAAAGCCACGCAAATTGCAAAAGAGCTTTTACTGTATTTTGGGGAACAAAACTGTTGTTCTGTTCATGTAAAGTGGTGGGTAAACATAGTATGTATTCATAAGTACATGTGCTGCACAGATCATAAAGTGTGTGCCAGACTGACACAGTCTTACTTCACCTCTCTGACATCCACGGAAACCTCAACACTGCTCCTATTCCAGCCAATACAACTCAATGGGAGTAACAGAAGGTACAGCTTTAGTACTGCAAAAGGACCGCCAAGCTTTCTTTGAACAACAAGCAAGAGAACATGGGATCATACTCACACTTGAGCCTTCTCTCATTAAAGAAAAAGCAACAACAAAAAAACCTAAAGCCATATGACACACAGTAAAGTTCTCTCAGACTGTTGTCAATACACAAAGAAGCCTTACAAATACATTAGAACAACCCATACTTTTTCTTCAGTATAGTCACTGACCGTGTAGTTGCTAGCTTTTAGTATATTAGAAAACCCAAAGCTTTCAGAAATGCACAAATTTGCTTATTTCTTTTGACAATCTAGATAATGACACAGCAGGAAAAACCAGAACTTGTAAAGCCCTAGTTTAGCAGATCTGACCTAAACTACAAAAGTAAAATCACTAGGGTGATGAAAAACAAAGATGGTAATTTAGTTCTAATGCCTGAGAGCTACCCACATATTAAGAGATCATAGCCAACAAGAGGAACAATCCCTTTCTCTAAAGCCAAATCAGTTAATAACTCTGAAAGTTTAAAACACATTTAAAAAACCTCAAAACTTTTTAATACACAGGAGCTTAAACTCAAATTTTTGTAAAAAGGTTTAGCTCTGCTGATTGAAAGACAAAAGCACATTGAATACTTTTGTACATATAAGTCCAAAGAAAGATGTAGGATTATTTCTGCCAGTAACAATGAGGGCTCCAAAGCCAGAATGCTAATAATTGTTCCAGGATTCGAAGACTCTTCCAGATACAGAGACTACTGCCCTCCAAGTACTTCAGTGTCACAGATACAAGGTACTTACAAGAATTTTTACCATCAGATTATTTGGATGATAAGTTTTTTTACAATAAAGGACAAGAAAAAAGAAATTAAATCATTACTCTTCATTATACCTTAATGAAGTTCTAAGTTCTGGACTAAATTAAGACTAAGTTTGATCTCTTGCAATGGAATTGTATGTATGGATGCACACAGATGTCTCAATGCCCTGACTTTCATCTAATTTTATTTTATTTCCTGACAAACTGTGCTTTATTCAAGCCTCTTTAGTTAAAAATTAGCTACTGTCCTCTTTAAGCATAGCTAAATGAGAATCCAGGGAGATAAGGACAGGCAGGTTCCAAGTAAAACCAATCAAGCAATAATAATAATAAAATGAAATTAAAAAAAAAATATCCCAGTGAAGAGATTAGAATAGAAGGGTGAGCTGGGAAGCAGAGTCTCTATCCAGTGAGCCAGAGAAAGAGCCTTCACTTTTTTTTTTTTAACATCTGGAAAACACATTATGTTTCCCACAGCATTCTCCTGGAAAAACTCATGGCTTGGATGGGCATACTCTTCGCTGAGTAAAAAACTGGCTGGCTGGCTGTCCCCAGAGAGTTGTGGTGAACCATATTAAATCCATCTGGTGGACAGTCACAAGTAGTGTTCACTATGGCTCAGTATTGGGGCCACTTTTGTTTAACATCTTTATCAGTTATTTGGATAAGGGGATCAAGTGCACCCTCAATAAGTTTGCAAATGACACCAAGCTGCGAGGGTAGGAAGGCTCTTCAGAGGGATCTGGACAGACTGGATCAATGGGCCAAGGTCAATCGTATGAGGTTTAACAAGGCCAAGTGCCAGGTCCTGTGCTTGGGTCACAACAACCCCATGCAGTGTTACAGACCTGGGGAAGAGTGGCTGGAGAGCAGCCTGTCAGAAAAGGAGCTGGGGGTGTTGGCAAGTAGTCAGCTGAGTATAAGCCAGCAGCGTTCCCAGGTGGCCAAGAAGGCAAATAGCATCCTGGCTTGCATCAGAAATAGTGTGGTCAGCAGGACTAGGGACCCCCACCTTACTTGGCAGTAGTGAGGCCGCACCTCAAATGCTGTGTTCAGTTTGAGCATGTCCAAAGAAGAGCAATGAAGCTGGTGAAGGGTCTAGAGCACGAGTCTTATGAGGAACAGCTGAGGGAACTGGGGTTATTTAGTCTGGAGAAAAGGACGCTCAGGGGAGACCTTATAACTCTCTACAGTTACCTGAAGGGAGGTTGTAGCAAGGTGGGTGTTGGTCTCTTCTCCCAAGTAACAAGTTACAGAAAAAGAAGAAATGGCCTCAGATTGTGCCATGGGAGATTTATATTGGATATTAGGTAAAATTTCTTCACTGAAGGGGTTATCAACCATTGGAATGGGCTGCCCAGGGAAGTGGGAGTCATCGTCCCTGAAAGTATTTTAAGATGTGGTGCTTAGGGACATGGTTTAGAAGTTAACTTGGCAGTGTTAGATTTACAGAAGAACTCAATGATCTTAAAGGTCTTTTCCAAGCTAACTGATTCTATGATTCTATGTTTTCTGGTCTGATTCAAGTTTCAGAGAAACATGGGCCAGCCACAGACCAGAGAAGATTTTAAGGGGGAAGAGGAGGGCAGAGGGGGGAAGAAGGGGGAGAATGAATTTGTTACCTACTTAACTAAATACCAAACAGTTAAGTTTAATAACATGATTAATAAATTGATGATTGTTCTGTATTTATCTTGGCATATTAAAAATAACATTATTTTCCATTTACTTTCAAATCCTCTTCCTTACAAACCTGGAATATATGTACCATTTTCAGCAGGCACCAAATAACTGCATTTTAATACAGCTACATCTGTTAAACAAGATTCCACTAACAAGAGGCAATTTATTTAAGGACTTAAGTAGCCAAACTCCTCTCTTCACTCTGGCTGTCCCTCAAAAAAACCTATCATATGTGCATATATCCCTAGCACAGCTGAACTATTTTTAGTGTGTTTAAGTATTTTTAGTATTTTTGTGTATTTAAGTGTATAGTACTATGCTATTGAAACATGAGAGTATTCTGAACATAAACTTTTACTTATATTATTTTTTCCCTGGAACTATCTTTTAGTTGTCTTTAAAGAATCAAACAAAAGTTATAATGAAAAAATACTGAAAATGTTACATTTAAAATAATTTTAAATATGACTTCATAAAAATAGATACATAAAAGACTTATTTTTAATTTGGTACATTATGTTACAATGATTGGGTCAGTCAGAATTATCTGTATAAACAACAGAAAGTTATAGGAGAAGCTGAGTGTGTTCTTCATAATACAAAACCAACTTAGAGCAAAGAGGAAAATAATCCAGATGATCTACTGTGCAAGAAAGAAAGCCTTTGCAGAAACAAACAAACAGAAGTCTACCTGTTGGAGGTCCAATGTAATGGTCACATAATGATATTCAATTCCATTCTGGATACTAGGGCTTTGCCACCAAGTGTTCTTGCCATCAATTGCATTTGTTATTGGATGTCGTTCTGTTTGAAAAACAGAAATACATAAATACATTGCAAAATATTAGGAGATTTAAATGCTTTTAGATCTAAAAATCTAGATTTAAATACAAATACAGAACTAATGACACAGCATTTTAAAATAAAAAGCAGGAAATTAATTTTTGTTTTCTACTCTTGGGACGCAGTCATGCTTATTATTACTGGAATACTCATCTGATGTTAGTTATTTAATTTTGGTTATGATCACAAGAAGGTGATTCAGAAGAACTAAATGCACTTGAAGGCCCTCCTGATTCTACAGAAAATGTCGGCATCTAAATCAACTCAACACTTTCTGCAATCTTCCAAGGTTTCAAGTACTGTGAAGTCATTAAATGTTGCAACAGAAACAAAAAAATCAGGAACCTGAGATATGGTGTTCAGGGAAAGCAGAGATTAAAGTAATACTGGTACTTGCGTTTCTAAGACATTTGTAAGCACACATGGAAATAATTCAGAAATCATTACAGAATATATTACTCAACTGGAAAATTGTCTGACTCACATACATACATATAAAGATGGTTATAATCCATATCAAAGTCCAAGATGCATCACTTTTTATGTCTCCATCTACTCTGCTCCAGTGTCCCAAAAGAATCCCAAATAATAGGGATAAGAATTTATTTACATAATTTAATTCTTTCTAGATTTCAAGATCTTCTAAATTACTGAAGTTTGCTTACACAGTATCTTAATGTTATTTAGACTGAGAAAAATTGCCCTCAACATTTCCAGGTTACTGTTTGAAGTCGATTCATGTTTCTCTTTGGTATGAAAAGGACAATAACATATCCCTAATTTTAAAAGGTACAACAATCTGTATTTTGAAGTCCCTAATTGCCTAGAGTGTGTCTGTACCTTATAAGGAAAATAACCTAAAGTAAATTCAAATACATTAGGTTTCTTCTGTGCAGGCTCTGTCTGCAAAAACGTAACAAGGTAAGAGAAATCCTACCCCTCTCATTAAGGATGGCTTTCTAAACTGACAAGTTTTCTTGATAGAAAACTGGAATATGTTTCATTACTAGATAGTCCTGGAATTGCAAATAATTAATTCATTAACTGATTCATTTGCTTGTTATTTTAATTATTATTTAAGTCAAGCAGCCAGAATGATACTCTGTGTCTCTGTTTTCTTGCTACATCAGCCACCTGTGGAGGACAGGAGTCCAACCTCATTAAAGAAAGCCAGAATGTTTGAACATATTTAAAGATACAATTAAAGTGCTTTGTGGGAGTGAGGGAAAGCATAAGCCCTCAAAATTGAAAATGCCAAAAATTTCATTTAAATATCAGATTATTCAGTAGCATCAGTGGGCACCAACAATTGCAAGTTAGAATACTGGTGCTACAAGAGATGTTATTAGTAGCTTTATCATTATGTTGAAGAGAAAAGAAAAATACACCTATGGTTTACATGTAGTCAATTCTCACAGCTCTGATCATCTTCACAAACCTTACCTTTAAATGAGTGCTAGCAAAAATACCTGTAAATCAAACTCAGAGCTCCTCGGTGATTGTGACAGAAGCTGTCTAATTGGAAATTTTGATTTAAGTCTCTTCAAGTAAAATTGATATAAGGGGAAATCATGAGAAGGAGGGTTGGGAGATGAATCAACAGTTAACTGTAATCACCATTATGAAAGTTTCATCATAATTAATTTGAAAACACTGATTAATTGCTGGCATGTTTCTCCTACTTAAAAGGGAAAGCAAAATAATATAATATTTGCAAAAAGGACTGGATTGCAAATGCAGTTCAAGAACCAATCTCCCTGATGGATGGCAAGGGGGAGAATTTACCGAGTGAGCCCATCAAACTGTGCTCTTTAATTTGGGCTCACATGTGATTATGTTCATTTCCTACTACAGTAATTAAGGGGAGGCACTCCAGACTTGCACATTCCAGGGGGATCGTTTAAAGTCTGGTTACATTACATGGTTCTCCTATTAATGAGCCATCTCTGTTTATACAAGGCACTTCCTTCTGTCAAATGAACATTTAAAAACCTTAAATTGTGATGTGGTTGGCAACAAAAGACCAGACATTATGAAGCTGGGCAGATTCAAGTTTTTAAGAAGGTAGGAGTGAGGGGAAACACAAATCATTCAGATGGGATTTATATTTATATACATATGTATGTGCACATACATTAATGTATACTATCTGATATCACAGCCAGGATATGGGGACAAAGCCATCCAGCTCTATTTTAGGTTTGGTTTCTGAATTAAACAAATGATGGTAAAAAAAATGGTATTACGTGCATGCGTCTCTAAATACCCATCTATAAAGAAGAGAAAGAATCTACTGCACTGTTTTTGCCAGTCAGAATGGTTCCAAAAACCCCTACAATCTTCTCTTAAACACACTACTAGAGTGTAACACATTTGAAAGCTTATATTGCTACAAAATTGTATTGCCTTTCCTTAGAAGGGGGCATTTGCTACAATTAAAGATGTCGAAACTTGGAAAACTATCTTGGGGAAAAAACCAGTTTGCAACTGCGTTCGAACAAATGAAGTCATCTATACTGGGGCAATTATAATTAGCTTTGCAAATATAAGAATATAAGCAAATATAAGTGAACGGATAGGTAGTCATTTAACAGGACAGCATCTGGGGATTAAAACAAACAAATAGCTATATATATCTCAGTGGTGTCACACCATTAAAAAGGGGAACTATTAAAGTAAAGCATGTAAATAGGAATATATTCTGTTCATTTTGAAGCAAACCTCCATCTCTATGCAGTGCTGGTAAGAGCTCAGGTGAATTTTAATAAAGATGAAAACCTCTAGAGAGATTTCAGAGAACTGCAATTTGCACAGCAAGAGTTCTAGAAAACTCTCCTATGAGGAGAACAAAACAAAAGAGAAAGCTTAGAGTAGAAACTAGATACTACTGACACTCAACTAAGTAAAATACTTTTGTAAAGAAAAAGGGAATAATCCATTCCTTGTACTGACTGAAGTTAGGAAAAATGTAACAAGACTTTGTGCAAGGAAGACACAGATTAGCTATTAGAAAAAGACTTCCTAACGGGTAAAATAACTCTGGAAAGTATGGCCAGGGAAGGAAGTTTTTAAGGAGAAGCTAAACAGGCTTCTGTCTGAAAAGCTACAGCCATAGATCCTATATAAAACTAGTAGATGGATTAAATGTTGTCTTCCTGCCCCATCCCCCCATAGCACATGCTTAAATGTACTTTGTCATGAGGTGTAAGTATATCTGAGCTAGGTTTTAGAGGGCAACAGCTGAAAAAAAGAGATATTGTCTCCATGCCTCTGTGGTTATGCTTCTTCCAACATTTTATCTATTCCACTAAAAGCTCTTAAGTGTCTTTACACTCTCTACCATCCACAGTGCCAATATACCCACAAAAATCTAACAACATTAATGCCATTCATGTCTTTCACTGCAATGTCACATGAAATTAAACTTGTATGACTTAAGAAATTTTCTTAGTTCTACTCTTCCCAACTATTAGAAACATGCATCTCTGAAGCAGATTATAACAATTTTACTCTTGAAAACTGACTTTGCTTCTGAGTAGCCTTAGAAAAAGCAATGTTAGCACAGATCAGTTTTAATATGAAAAACTCAGCAATTAAACCAAGTAGTGCTCCATTATCTTATCTTTCTGCTAGTTCAGTGAAACTGAATTAACATCAAGTGAAGAAGAAAAAATGTCTCAGAACACAATAAAAACAAAACAGGAGTTGCCCTAAACTGAAATTTCAGATGTTGCTTCGATTGACCAAAAAGTTCAAATTCAACATGTACGTACGCAGGTAAAAGTCTTCTGGTTTTCCTTCATGGTATATATCAAGATAATTCAACAACAGCTGTAGATACTTAAATTTTTCTAAATCTGGATTTAAGTGCTCCACTTTAAGGATCTGAATTAGAATGTTCAGTTTGAGGAGTATACATAACAGATACAGATTTTGAAATACCAATGGAAGAGATGGGTAATAACATTTAAAAAGAAAGAGACAGGCGTTTCATAGTAACTGGGAAAGTGACCTACAGTTTGTTTTCCGAAGTATCTACAAACCTTAGAAAAAAAGTCTTTGTAAAGGAACAAAATGAAAATGGCACACGTACGATGTGGAACTCTGCTCCTTAGATCACAAATGCGGCACTGAGGGTTCCTTGCAGGCTGTCCAGGTACATGTTCAACAAGTTTGCAGTACATTTCCCGACCCTTTTCTCCACAGGTAGCATTGGTTGTGATGAGAGCGTTAGTAGCCAGGTTCAGCACTGCAGGAAACAACCCTGCAAACAAAATGAAATAAAATCAAAACCGAAAGCAACAAAAATTAATTTAGCAGCACAATCATCAATAGACATGTAACCATTTTTGAAACTAAAGCAAAAGTTGTTTTCAGCAACTATGGAAGTAACGAAGCACAGAAAAGCACCAATAAATTTGGTTTTTAATCCACCGTTTAGACATCAGAATAAAGCCATTATACTGATTATTTCCTCCTCATTCCTTTCTAAAATTCAAATTGGTACCCTCTTGTTATAACCTGAACAACAGCAGGACACTAAAGGAGAAAGTAAAGTATGAAACATACAAAGCACCATAATTTTTTTTTTCATACTCAAACCTTGTGTTACTACCCAATTGTACACTGAAACATTGTATACAAATTACCTATGAAAACTCACTATTATTCTTCCTTTCTGCTTAGTTCTACAAGGGAAAGCTTTTCCTTCACACGTTGCATCACTTGCACAACATTATATTAGTGTTCTGTGTAGGACCTCATGGTCACCCTTGTCATCAGAGGAGCTAAGTAATTCATACAGCAACATGAGTAGCATCTGTCATGTGTAGTTTCCCTTTCCTCAAGAACAGGATAATATAGACAACATTGTATCTTTTATGGCAGTACCACTGGGGTTTTTTTCATGTTCACATGCTGAGTGAGGTATTATATTCTTATTCAGCACAGCACTTAAGCACATGTCTAAGTGCTCTGCTGAACTGAGTTCTATGTAGCAGTAAGCTATAAAGATTATAAACCATATGAAGAAGAATCATTAAGGTAGGTTACTCCTTCCCACTAAATACTGATCAAAACATTTGAGCCGTAATAAAATTGAACCATGGAGACAAAATGATATGATGTGCTGGATGTATACATTAGCCACTCACATTAAATCAATCAGTTTTGCATCTTCAAATGTATAACTTGCCATGGCTACAGGTTAAACCAAAACAATAACAAAAAATCTGAAGTATTGATTGGGATAATATTCAGATTTATTTGATTAATATTTCCACTGGCCCCAAACCCACCCTTCTGCACTTTATTCAGCCTCTAACCCTATTATATTATTTTAAGTTTAAAATAAGACTTTAATAAAAACTGAATTTGCAATTATTGTACATTGATAAAGCTCCCTTTATAATGGCATTCCTTTTCATCCTCCACAGATGGACAACACTATTCAACTGACTCCTTTCACTCCTTTTACTTCAGTGTCCTGCTTGTCTCTGTAATTAACCTCTATGCCATTTAATTACCAAGCTTGGGTGGTCATGGTACAGCTGTCCTCTGAGATTGTGAGTTAGTGACTCTCACGCTTACTTTAAAACCATGTTAAACATACTGGTTGAGCAAGGCAACCAATTAATTACTAACCTGTCCAATTTGTGTAGTCAATCAATAGTTGAGATTTTATTGATCATGTATCTTGCTGCTTCTGCATAACTTACAGCCCATTTTCATCACATTTTAAAATCTATACAGTTCGTGTATTTTTATTCAACACATTCAGTGATACTTGCTGCTTTCTGCAATGGGGACACAGGGTAAAAATCTGTGTAAGCATTAGCCAAGCAGATGAATTAATAGCTGTGGAACTTCCTATGTTGACTTACAGTCTCATTGTTGTCTTTTTAGACCGTACAAAGTTAATGGTGTAAAAGCCCATAATTGTTTATTCTTAGCACAGAGTCTGGCATTTGGTTTAGAGTAAAGTATTTTATTCCCTCAAAAGAGAATCTAATAAAAAAGACAGAATGATCCTACATGCAAGGAATTGCAGTACATGGCATCAGGACAAGTAAACCTTCAAAAAACAGTGAAACAGATGAAAAAGAGCAAGAAAAAAGCCTTCAGATTCACACAGCTATAAAAATATTATGTTATATGTCTATACACAAATCATACCATTGTTCTATGTTTTACCTCAGATTTTAAATTCAAGAGACATAAGTAAATGAAGAATACTTAAGGAACTCGTCAATTAGAACACAATTTCATTCTCAAGTAACATCTTTTATGTACAGAGCATCTTAGGACAAAACTACCACGCAGCCTTGCCCATAATGAGCACAAACACAGGCACTGAACCAGTATTGGATGTTTCACTGAAGAGACCATGTCAAGATCCCAGCATCTCAGAGAGGAGTGCATCACATTGATTCCCTGCAGGGTCACAGGAGTGGACCTGACAGGCAGAGAGCAAGAGATGCACAAGTGCTCCTACACTGCACCCAACACCACGTTTGGTATTGATGAATTCCCCAGCCCTGGAATTTTAACAAGTTAAAAATTACAATTGACATCTGCATATATGAACTTTCTTTTAATAGTCCTTGTCTGTAAGGAGCAGGCAGTTGGGCTCGATGATGCTTAAGAGTCCCTTCCAACTTGAGATATTCTAATACAGTGCAGGGGCAGAATCACCTCCCTTGTCCTGCTGGCCACACCTTTTTTGATGAAGCCAAGGATATGGTTGGCTTTCTGGGCTGCAAGCACACGTTGCCGGTTCATGTTCAGCTTTTCATCCACCAGTACCCCCAAGTCCTTCTCTGCAGGGCTGCTCTCAATCCTATCATCCCCCAGCCTGCATTGATACTGGGGGTTGCCCCAATTCAGGTGTAGGACCTTGCACTTGGCCTTATTGAACATCATGATGTTCAACATGGGCCCGCTTCACAAGTCCAGGTCCCTCTGGATGGCATCCCATCCATCAGACGTGTCAACTGCACCACTCAGCTTGGTGTCATCTGCAAACTTGCTGAGGCTACACTCAATCCCTCTGTCTACATCACTGATTAAGATATTAAACAGTATTGGACATCATATGAACCCCTGAGGGAAACCACTTGTTACTGATCTACATCTGGACATTGAGCCACTGATCGTCTGACCATCCAACCAATTCCTTATTCACTGAACAGTCTACCCGTCAAATCCATATCTCTCCAATTTAGAGAGAAGGATGTTGTGGGGAACTGTGTCAAAGGCCTTGAAAGCACTGTCTTGAATCCTTTAGTTAGGCCCTTTGAATATGAAAAATAAATGTGAATGTGCATGATGCTAACATACACTGTTTACCCTTTCTAAGATGCACATCTATCCAATCATAAATTCCCAGGAAAGGCAAGAGAGCTCAAGACACCACAGTTCATTTTCTTCAGAGAATTTTGCCTTATTTGTACTGATGTTAATAATAAAGAAGAAATATTAGAAATGTAAAAGAAATTTTAAATTGGTGTACTAGTTTTGTGCGTCTTAAAATTCAATTTCTCACTGAATGATAAAGTTTATTTAGTTACCAATCCTACCTTGAAGTCTATGGGCTCCCTGCTATGAAATACTTCCAGAAATGTGATCTGCTATAATCAGAGATAGCTCTTCTTTCTTTATTGCCAAATACCTCTAGTAATCATTTGCTCCAGTGCAAAGACTGAGTAAAATGCCTCTGAGTCAGAAACACATATCTATTTTGTGTAGCTCAAGTGCAAGCAGAAAAATTCTATTTCCTTCAACTGCCAGCGACATCAATCTTTTCACTCCTTTGTGTCACTGGCAAAAAACACATTAGTATTCATTTCTACCTGTAAAAAATACCAAAATTCTAGCAATTGGACAGAAAACAGGTAGAAAAAGATTTGCTTATAATTAGGCAGTGGTTTTAGCAGCTTGGATTCTATTTCTGGTTTTTACTGACTTCTGTTGCATGAAAAGAAAAATAGTCTCAGATTCTCACCTATGAAATGGGCATGGTCATATTTTTGCTTTCAACTTTGTTTTTTTAGGCATGGAACATACTCCATGGAGGTTTTAGAGAATGGAAGCCCAATAACACAGTTTGTTTAGTACTGACAGGTGATTAAACTATGAAAGGAAAACAACACAGAAACTAATCAAATTCTTTGAAGTGGTGTACCATGCAAGGGTAAACAAGAAAGCTGCTTAAGTCTCAACAGAATTAGTGATGATAAGTTTAGCACATATTGTCAACAGAAACAGTTTTAGAAAAAAAACTGATAAAAATTAAAAACAGTGAGTTAGCAGGAATATCCAATTTTTGCCTACAAACTCTGATGTACTCAAGTTTTACACTGTCGCTGTTCTAGTTAAGTAGGGTGTGGTATCAAAGTGCCAGCTACATCAAATGGTTCCTGGGCAAAAGCAGATCTTAATATTTATCTTAAATACAAGAATACTTTATGCTTAGGATCAGTGGTTTATTGTTTGTTTGTTTTTTACAGAGGCCTCACAAGTAATGTCTTATCAATACTAAAGTTCTTTGTAAACACTAGCAAGCATATAGGTATAAGCCATTCACTGAGTTCAACATATTTTGACAGGATTCAGCAAAGGCCATTAAAGGAACTAAGCTATCATGATATTGGAGGGAATGACCTCTCATGAGATAACAACAACAAAAGGAAAATGGGGAATAACACTAGAAAACCACAGCAATCTTTGCTGAATCCTGTTTTGTTCAACAATAGGTAACTTAGAAAAGAGGATTAAGAGGTGACAGTTTATTGATGACAGAAATTATTCAGAATAATCAAAATAAGGACAGACTACAGAGTGGTAGAAAGTTTTCATGGTGTGGTGTGTCTAGGCAATAAAATGACAGAAAAATTGAGGAATCAAAATTAATACACAAGGGGAAATATGATAGGCTCTACACTAGCTCTTATCACACCTACAAGAGTTATTATGGATATTTCAATTAAAATACTAGCTCAATGAATAGAAACAAAATGTCATTACATTATCACATAAATCCATCCGTAATGACAACAAATAATGTATGATATTCCTTACTAAAAGAGATAAAGAGTGTGACAGGATCACAGAATGGACATTAACAGGCTATGAGGCTTCTACTGGGAAAAGAACTGATTGGGAGATGTATAAAATGATGCAACTGTATATAAAATCATAAATGGGTTTAGTAAGTGAACATTTGGAAGTGAACATGTTTAGTTACCCTTCTACCACAAATTGAGGGTGCTGAGTCAACTTATCATACAGATGGTTTCTTCACTGCTTGGTATTTTTTTGTCTGTTTATAAAAGGAACTGCTTTTCAGTATGATAGAAATTAAATTCTAGAATACATTAGCAAGTTCTATCATAAAACGTTTTTATTCCAAAAGAAGGAATGAATTAATGACCACTTAGATTAATAGATAGAACAAGGGTTCATCTGGGGTTGTTAAGAACCAAGCTTGGTGTTCAATTGTCAGTGCTGAATATCCCTAAGTCACTGGCTGTTGCAGGGTTTCATCCTGGGAGGCATCACTGTACTCTTTTTCTTCTTTCAAATTTTTCCTCAATATTGCCTATAATACTTAACCATAGTTGTCTCTTACAAGGTCTGGTAGAACATATAGCCTAACATTAAGGTCCACCTAAAATGGAATAGAAACTGTAACCTTAACTTTGTGTGGTGTTGCAAATGAAACCATAATATTTCTGCCAATACTCATTTTTTCTACCAGCCATTGTCCTCTATCCTACTTCCCATCACTACCTTGCATGTATAGAGGTCTAATTACCAGATAATTATTCTATAGGTCCTCAGAACATTCTTTGAGATTGGTGATTTCCTTGCAGTGTTCTGCAAAGCAGTATTATCTAATTAATTTTCTTACACTTTCCTAATCTCATTGCATAAAGGAAAATAATAGCTCATGTTCCTCATCAAGCACCACCTCATATAAGCTCAATGAATATCACAGAATCACAGAATCACAGAAC